TTCCATAGTGATACTGCCTCGGAAACCCAAGGAGGGGTCGCTATGAGTCGGGGCCGACTCGACGGCACATAACAACAACAGTGTTGTTCGTACATGGTTTTCCTAGGCAAAGACATGGGAAATAATAGCAGAAATTATAATCTTCAGCAGGAAAGAAACCTCAACTCAATTGCTATACTGGTATCTGGAGTACTTTCGATTGTATTTTAAGAGAAATTAAAACAAGTGCTCGATGCAAGATTCTGCTGTTTTTGTGCATTTTAAATATTCTCTCAGGCAACTACCAACACCTACCCTGAGCTGCCAGCCTAGGCCATTCAAATATTTCTGAGAGTATCAATTATTGTTTTTGTTAGCACTCTGGTTAAAAACTGGATAGGTTTTAAATGACCTCTCCCAGAATGTAAGGTTTTTACATCACAAATAATTTGTTATGGCAGAAAGTATCTGTATATTTTAGTGGGAACACCTCATGTTTAAAATCAGTAACAGATTTCTCCTTTCAAATCAATATTTTCCAAACTTCTATAATGAAATACAGTTATGATATAACTAATTAAAATGATGAATTACTCTTTTTCTACTGTATTTAGAGTCTCTAGACTTTCATATAGCTGACATTTTCAGCTTTAGAGTACCATTCATCCACAGTTTGAAACAGAAGTTATGTAGGACTTTCTTCTAACATAATGGCTTTATAATATAGAAACTGTCCTAAACAATGTAGATAACTCTTGTTTTAATATTTCTGGTCTTTCCATTTGGCAAATGTTTATGGATCATAGACTTTGAGTTCAGCACAACAGTAAGAAAGAAATCTTATACACATCAAGTTTAGACCTTAAAATGTATGATCAGCTGCCAATATGCACAGTGGCTATAAGACTTCAGGGGGTAAAAAGATCACTACGACTTATAATGTCTGGGCTAAAAAACAAGGTGAGCTTTGACTAATCATAAAGAAGTACTTAACAAAAAAGGCCCTTCAACAGAGAGGAAAGCATGAAAAGTACATTAAAAAAAAGATACCCACCCAGTGCCATCAAGTCTATTCCCATTCATAGTGACCCCATAGGACAGAGCAGAACTGCCTCGTTAACATATCCAAGGCTGTAATCTTTATGGAAGGAAACTGCCACATCTCTCCTCCATAGAAAAAAGGATAACCCAAAGACCAGCCTGGCTAGAGTAAAAATTACTCCCAGATTCCAGGTGGTGAACAATACATCCCTAAGTGTTTCTTTAAGCTGAATTGGTAGGTTAGTCCAAACAGATGCATAAGGTTCTTATTTAGCCTTATGTTAGTACAAGATAGGAGTTCTAGCGGTGCAGTGGTTTGAATCAATCAGCTGCTCTACAGAAGATGAGGCAGTTTGTTTACCTGAAGATTTACAACCTTGGAAACCCCATGGAGAACTACGCTGTCTTAAAGGGTCACCGAGTCAGAATCGGGTTTAGTAAAAGAAGTTCAAAATCCTTTCAATGATTTAAAAACTGCACATGCAGCAACCAAAGGTAATTCTGATGAAGAATTTGTTGGAGTAGGGGTTCAGCAGGGGTTGGTTCAATCATTCCAAAGTGAGGGAATATTTACATAATAATAAAGGGCAAGTATAAATTGTGCAACCCAGAGACTTACCATAACAATGGCAGTTGCATTAGGCTAAACAGGTAGGGTAGAGTTGGATGAGACAACCTTGAAAGTCAGGATGAAGAGTTTGGACGCTTTTTTTTTAAAAAAAGCATGGATATGTCATAATAAAACAGTTTTAGGAAAGTTATTTTTTTAAATACATTAATATTAATCTTTCTCTAGGCTTCTAGTGATGGATTAGACAGTTATCATTCCTTTTCCTCCTCTCTCTTTTTTCCCTGGGATTCAGAATTTAAGTAGGAATAAGAATCCAAAAGGAAAAACTGTCTCTTATGGAACAACATTAAGGAGCCCTGATGGTACAGTGGTTAAAGCACTTAATCTGAAGATTGGCAGTTCAAATGTACCAGCCACTGTGTGGGAGAAAGATGTGGCAGTCTGCTCCCACAAAGATTATAAGCTTGGAAACCCTATGGGGTAGTTCTACTCCATCCTGCAGGGTTCCTATGAGTCAGAACTGATTCAGTGGCAGTGGACAGGATGGAGCAACTACGACCTTTAGCAAGTAATATTCTCTGTTGTTGTTGTTGTTTGCTGTCGAGTCGGCCCTGACTCATAGCGACCCCTCCTTGGGTTTCCGAGGCAGTATCACTACGGAAGTAGGATTGCCCAACCTTCCTTCCG